TGACTCCTCTATCTCCTTAGCCACTGTGGAGTTTATGGCTGTGACAGTATCCAGCTGTTTTGTGTTGTTTCCCAATTATTTGTTTGTTTAAGGGGGTGCATGTGTGAAAGTCAGAGAACAATACTGTAGAATTAGTTTTTTGCTTCAACCTTTAAATGGGTTCTAGAGATCAAACAGGTTGCCAGGCTTACACAGCAAGTGCTTTATTTGCTTGAGCCATCTTGCTGGCCACAGTACCCAGCTGTTTATACATTACTTTTTCCTTTTGAGTCTTTTGGGTCCAAAGTTCCTTTTATAAAGACACCAGATATCAGAGTTCACCCTGAATTCAAGATCCTTAGCTAACTACAAAGATTCTATAAGGTCATGCCTGAGGTTTGGGCCAGATCAGATTTGGGGAAGACACTATGCCCACTACAGACTCCAGTCCTAATTCCGAAGGCAAATGCAATTCCAGTATCACATTCACATTCATCAAGGGCCCTGGTCCTCTCCAGAGCCTAGCCAGTACCTCACATCGGACGCTGCCACTTAGCACTGCACTCACTCACCAACATGGCTCAGTCCCTCAGCTCCCCTCTGACCTCTCTTCTCACACTTTGCCAAGGTCACTTCCTCAAGCAGCCCTTGGCAGCTCTCCCTGTGTTCAGGTGAGTCTCATCCTGATGTCTTCTCAAAGCACCCTGGCCTCATTAACATCACCTCTTCTTGTTAAACTCATGGCTGTCCTACTGGCTTCTGTCTGGACTCCTGCCTAAACTCTCTGAAAGCTACTGCTGTTCAAGAAAGCACCAAGTAAGCCGGGCAGTGGTGGCGCACGCCTTTAATCCCAGCACTTGGGAGGCAGAGGCACCAGATTTCTGAGTTCGAGGCTAGCCTGGTCTACAGAGTGAGTTCCAGGACAGCCAGGGCTGCACAGAGAAACCCTGTCTCGAAAAACAAAAACAAAAACAAAAAAAAAAGAAAGAAAGAAATTACATGACTAGTTGCCTAGGGTTGAGGGAGCTGAGAGGAACCAGTGATGAGAAAGTTCTAAAATTGGCTGTGGTGACGCTTGCACAACTGTGAACATGCCAAAAGCCAGCCAAATGTACAGTCTTTGTTTTGTTTTCTAAAACCAGATCCTGTTAATATAGACCAGACTATTCCATACTGTCCTGCCTCAGCCTCCAGACCACCTGGGATTGCAAATGCCATTATGCCCAGGTAAACCACTGCTTACATGAGGAAATCAAATAACGCATGAATTATAGTCCCTTTTTTTCTTTTATCGTTTGAGACAAAGCCTTGTACCCCAGGCTAGTTTCCATAGACAACCCTAAACTCATGATTTTTCTGCTCCTATCTCTGGCTGGGGTTCCAGGCATGCCCCCACCACACTGGACCACACTGGCTTCACACATGCTAGGGAAGCACACTACCCACTGAGCTACTTTCCTAGTCAGAGTTGTGTTTCATAAACCAGAGCTTTTCAAGTCTTTTAAAACTTGAAGGCTGGGGATGTAGCTCAGCTGGTAGATAATTTATCTAGCATTGAGGCCCTGAATTCAATTGTCAGGACTGCAAAAACTAGGAGTGATGGGACAGGTAGCATATACTCAGGAGGTAAGACAAAGGATCAGAAGTTCAAGGTCATCCTCAGCTGCATAGCAAGTTCAAGGCTAGCCTGGACTACATGAAACCATCTCCCTTCAAACAGTAAGATAAAATAAAATAAATAAATAAATAAATAAATCTTGATCCCTTTACTTACTCTCCGTTACTTTTCATTTCACAAAGGAAAAAAATACTTTTTACATTTGAAATGAAAATTTATACATGTCTTCAGGGTGTGGTGGCTCATGACTTTTATCCCAGTACTTGGGAGGTAGAGGCAGGCAGGTCTCTGAGTTTGAGACTGGCCTGGTTTATAATATGAGTTCCAGAACAGTTGTGGCTACACAGAGAAACCCTGTCTCAAAAAAGCAAACTGAAAAAGAAAAAAAGAAATAAAAACATTTCTATACTCAAATACCCCCCAAAAAAGTTAACTTTTAAAAAACCTATAACAAAATTCTATCTTAAATAATAGCTTCAAAGAGTTACACTGCACTTTTCTCAGATTTCAAAATACACTCCAAAGTGCTAACGCACTCACTGCTCAGCGCATCAGCTGTTTCTCTTTCTACCCTAACTATGTCATTATTGTGAACTGTCATCAGAAAACACAAATGAAGCCATGTGTTTGCCGGGGGCAGTTTCAACTGCAAAGAATTCAAACAAGGTGTGTGTGGGGGGAGAAAGACACCAATCAAACATGTCATAAATGGCCATCCCAAATATACTACATACATTTAATTTTCGGGGGGGGGGGGGGCGTAGAGGAAACTTTCAGAACTCCTTGTAACCAGAAGAAGTACATGGAGCTTGGTGAGGTTTCTGTCTCTACAGGTCCACCCTAGGGTCTTGCATCTCAAAGCATGCTTCCTGGACAGCAGCAGCAACTTTGGGAGCCTGTTAAAAATATACTTCCTAAGGCCCCACCCAGTCCTCCTCAACCAGCATCAGGGACTTAATAGGATCCCCAGGGGATGTGTCTGCACACTAAAATCTAAGGACCACTACCAAATCTCTCCTAAATCAAGATGCCCAAAGGTTACAGTAGATTAATGTTTTGGAAAACCTGCCATACATATAGCTCTGATCCTGGGTCAGTTGGACTCTGACCCATCCTCTGTTCTCTGTGTCAAACTGCAGAGGAGGTGACCCTTACAGGCAGGATGCCTAGGAAGAAAAGGATCAGTATATATGTAGCAGCAGCTCTGCCCTCCCAGAGCTCTGACAGATGGGACTCCTCTGTCCCAGCTTCTGGAGGAACCCACTGCCCCTGAAGTGTCTGAAGTGGTCTTCCCCCTTTGACCTTTGTCCTTCCACTTTGTGGTAGCAGCGGCTTCCTGCTATTGCCTCATCTCTGAATTGCCTCACTCACTGCCTGCAGCTTCCTCTCTGTTCTTCAGCACCTGTGTCACAGCACCCCTGCACTAAGCTCCTCTGGTCAGACAGTAAGAGTGGGTGCTGATCACACCATTTGGAATTCTGCATTATATGCCACACACATATTACCAAGAAATTTTCGTGAATGGCCTCTCTGCTACAAAAGGGAGTTATTGCACACAGTAAACTTATTTCCCACATCTTAACAAGCTTTAGCAACCCAGAAGAAAATCAGCCTTGAGCTATCTGTACAGCAGATGTGAATGTATTCAGAAGGCAAGTCCTCGGGGTGTATTTTTAACACCACAACCGTCATTCCCCCCAACCAGAACAGCTGGTAGAGCAGCTATTGTTTTCGTTTAGAGGAAAGGCAGGGAGACATCTCCTGACCAATAAAATTCTGGACTCAATGCAAGCTTGGAGGAGTCCACCTTCCCCACAGCGATCTTGGCCTTCACTCATCACTCCCCTCAGTCACAGGATCTGATCTGCCTCACACCACTACCTCTCTTAAAAACCAAGCACTAGGAAAGGACATGTCAAGGCTCCTTAAACATGTTCCTGGGGCGCATCTGCTCATCACTCCCATGCTTATAATGACTTTCCATAGTGCCCTCTTGCAGGCTGGTCCTTCACATCTGGCCCTGACTGACCTTTCCTGCCTCTTCCACTAACTGAACTGTTGACCATTTCCCAGTGTGCATAAACTTTCAGACACAATGTCAAATCTTCCACGGCATTTACTACAACATAGTGTGAGGGGTCCTCTCCCTACTTGACCTGGAACCCTTAAGACGAAGAAACTGCCTATCAGTGAAAGCCTCATCTAGGTTCAAATCTAGCTAGACCTGTGTTTTACTACTTCTGCCGCCAGGAGCAAGTCACCTAACTGAACCACTTTGGTTTCAAACCCATAAGAGAGCAAAAAAGGATCCTGGGGACTCACTGGGTTGTCACCAACTCTAAATAAACCAATCCAAGTGAAGTGCTCAAAGCTAGCCCCCAAAAAAATTGAAGAATCTTTACATACAATTGTTCTATCATCCCTGGGACTCTGATATAGCTAGACTAACACAGGTGTTAGGTCCCGTGTGCTGAATGACTTGGGTACCACACAACAAACGTAACACGTCAGCACCTAAGTGATACCCCAACCCCCAACCCCGGGCAAGTAACAGAGACTGACAGATGATAAAGCAAGAAATGGCTCTTCCAGTAAAGGGTAACTAACCGGCCTCGGAGGAAAAGCGCACTGCAGCAGGATGAGCAAGCCCGTGCCAGCCGGAACTGCCAGGGCTGCCCCACGGTGGCAACCTGCTCTCCACCACCTGTCCAGCCACCTGCCTGAGGAAGCCCTTCCAACAAGGAGGGCTCCCCTCAGCAAGAAAACATACGCAGTTTTCAAGAGGAACCAGAAAGGGAAAGCAAAGGGTGCAACTTTATTCTTAGGCAAAGACAACAAAAAGGCATGTGTCTCTCTGCACTGCATCCCGAGCGGCTGGAGTTCCCCACCGAGAGAGTTCTGTGCCCAGCGGGTGAGGAGTCCCGGCTTTCCCAAGGAGGGAGGAGGGTGGAAGGGAAGGAGGGAGGGAGGCAGAAGCGGCCACTACACAAGCATCCTTCCCTTTCTGGACACAGGGGTGAAGACCCCGCAGCGTGGTGGGCACTGGAGGGTGAGCCTAACACACAGGTGAGTGCGGGAAGCAGCACCAGGTGCTCAGCCGTACGGACCCCCAGGCCTCGGGGACCACGCGCCTGCGGCCCCCGCAGCGGTCCCCGCAGCGGCCCCAGCAGCACGCCGGGCCTCAGTTTCCTCAGCGGCGGCACCCACCTGCACCCAGTCCCCGCAGACCCGTCCCCGCGGCCCGGTCCCCGCGGCCCGTTAAGCCGCGGCGCGCTCGGCCCCGTAGCAGCGACCACAGGACCTCAGGCCCGGCAGGGCCTGGGCGGCCGCTCGCACACGGTCACGGGCCTCGACAGGGACCGCGGCGTGAGGGGCGCGCTCCCGGCCGACGCCGCGGGCTCACCTTCTGCCGGATCTGGCCCGACGTGGACACCTTACGGATAAGCTTCTGCGGGGAGCCCGGCTCAGCCTCAGGTTCGCTGTCGGATGACTCCTCAGGCGGCGGCGGCGGAGGTGGCTGAGGCGGACCCGGCGGAGGGGCGCCCGCCGCCGCCGCCATGCTGCCCGGCCAGCGCGCGCGCCGCGGGGGGGCGGGGCGGGGCGGGGATGGGATGGACCCAGTGTCTGGGGCGGAGCCTGGGCGGGGCGGGGCCTAGAGGCGCCCACCCCACCCCACCGCACCCCCATAGGCAGTGGGCGCAGACACAGGCTTGCCGGGCCCTTGCTGGGTTGTTTCTGCCTGACCCATCTTTTTCCAGTTGATGTCTTCTGTCGTTTTCTTCTTGGAACTCAATTTCTAGTTATTGTCTCTAAGTATACTTTTTTTTTTTTTACTCACACCGAGTGAAAGTGACCTCTAGGAGGCTGCTGGACTATGTTGGTGAAACAGTTTGCAGAATGGATGCGTGCGTGCAAGTACACACGGAGGGAAAGAAGACAGAACTTCTTGTTAAGGCCACTGTTAAGGAGAGATGGAGAAAGTAAACCGGACTTGCCCATAACCAGGGAACCGTGTTTTAGGCAGAGGCCAGATATGTGCAAAGACCAGAGGCAAAAAAAAAAAAAAGGAAGGAAGGAAGGAAGGAAGGAAGGAAGGAAGGAAGGAAGGAAGGAAGGAAGGAAGGAAGGAAGGAAGGAAGGAAAGAAGCTGGGGTTTAGAGGGAGGAAAATGGGAATAGGACAGGAATCGGAGAGCTGTGGAATCAAGTGAGACTTTGAGGACCAGATTAGGGATTGGCCTGTTCTGCTGAGGCCTGAGGGCAGCAAGAAACCCAGCTGGGAAGGGGGGAGGGGGAGGGGGGAGAGAGGTAGATAAGCTGAGGCTGGCTGAGTCACAAAGCAAGGACCTATGAAGTATTAAGGCAAGTAGCCACTCTGACTTACTGGGTGGGGCTGAGAGTTAGGGAAGGGAACTGAGACTCAGAAGGGAGCGATGGGTTACTAGAGAGACAGAGCGAGCTCTACACTGAGCCAAAGGAGGACACTGTACAGTTAGAAAAGGAGTGGCTTCTGTTTGGGATGGTTTTCTGGCATATTGAGATGGAAAAGGACTTGGTGCCAACCAGGAGAATGTGCTACCCTCCTACTGTGCCCTGCTGTAAGGGGCAAGTCAGCAGAGGACTGCCTAGCTATCCTATCACCCTTTCAGAGGCTGCTGCTAGAGACCAGGGGCCTCTGCCTTGCCCACCAGTCTGTAAGCTTTGGACCTCGATACACTGGACAACCCTTTCTAGAGGCAATACAAGTCAGATACCACCAGGAACCACAGGAGGTTCCTCATCCAGCACAAAGATGACACCAGGATAGTGGCCTCCCAGCCAGCACAGAGGATGACCAGGCCCAATGTTGTAGAAAAGATCTGAGACCCCTGGGTAAACTAGGACACTCCACCTGTGCTGTAGCCACTGGCTACCTACAAGTACTTATATTTAAATTCCTATTAACTAGAACTAGACTTAAGACCAGCCTAGGCTAAAGAATGACATTTAATAAAAAGCAAATTAAAAAAAAAAAAAAAAAAAAAGCCGGGCAGTGGTGGCACACGCCTTTAATCCCAGCACTTGGGAAGCAGAGGCAGGTGGATTTCTGAGTTCGAGAGTTCGAGGCTAGCCTGGTCTACAGAGTGAGTTCCAGGACAGCCAGGGCTACACAGAGAAACCCTGTCTCAAAAAAAAAAAAAAAAAAGCTGGGCAGTGGTGGCTCATGCCTTTAATCCCAGCACTCAGGAGGCAAAGCCAGGCAGATCTCTGAGTTCAAGGCCAGCCTGGTCTACAGAGTCAGTTCCAGGACAGCCAGGGCTACACAGATGACAGCCAGGACTACACAGGGCTACCCTGTCTCAGAAAACAAAAACAACAAAATTTTAGTTCCTCGGTGACACTAGTCACATTTGAAGCACTGAATAGCCACATATGGCTGGACTGCCACCATAGTGTATGTACTTCTAGAACAGACAAGTTCTATAGCACTTGATAGTGACAATTGCCCATATAGAACTCTTGTGCATGCAAGATGAATAGCAGTCCTCAACCACACCCCCATAGAACCAATAGGAAACGGAGCCCCTGACATGGAAGTCTCAGGTATCACTCCCCTGAATACACCAAGGAGGCAGGATGTGAACTCAGACCAACTGACTTCCTCTGTCTGGGTACTGCAGGGTTGGTCTCCCAGGAAGCCAAGGCCTGAGGGACGTTCTTAAGTAGAGCATGGGCAGAAAGGCAGTGTGTGGCTGAAGGAAGTTTCCCATAAATCAGTACTGAAGTCTTGACCTCAAGGCCCTCAGAACGTGACTGTATTTGTACAGCGGGTCTTTAAAGGGTTAATTGTGGGGCCAGTGAGATGGCTTAGCAAGGAAAGGTGCTCACTGTCAAGGACAATGATGAACTCAATCCCTACAACTCACATGGTGGAAATAAAAACAAAACAAAACCAACCACAAGTTATCCTCTGAACCACACACATGTGCATGGCACATACGCCCATTCACATGCACCAAATAAAACTTCAACTGTTAAAAAATATTGAAGAAGAAAAAAAAGGACAATATATAAAAAGAAAAGCAGGAAGCTCTGATGACAAAGGCATGGTAAGCCAGCCCCGAGGGTGTGAGAGCGGGAGAGCTGGCCCATCTCCTCACAGGCTGCAGCACTTGGGAGAGTGGGCCCTGTACCTTCACTGCGCAGCACAGTGGATTGGGTGCCCTAGCTGGAGCAGTGCTGGAGAGCTCACCCTGCTGGTGTGGATAAGGGAGAGGAGAGCAGGTGGCAGGCTGACCAGCTCAGAAAGCTACCAGCCAGGCCCAGAGCCAGGGTTCTGAATTGGGCCACCCCCAAAATCTATATCATCTACAAATGATTGGGACATGTGAAAGCACCAGTCCTGCTGTTCCAAAGCTGCAAGATCACCATGACACAGGGCAACAACAGGATAACCAGGAGGAGGAGCCAATATTGATGGTATCACAGAAGCCAAAGATCTTGAACCAGACCCATAGTGACTCATTGCAAGGAACATTTGCAAGTGAACAAGGGTGGACAGAGGGACATACTCTGGAACACACTGTGACATACTCCAGCTTTCCACAGTGAGAAGTTTTCTATGCCTTGATTTTGTTTGTTTGCACTTGTTTTATTGGGGATGGGGGAGCAGTTGGAAGGTCAAAGTTCAAAGGGCTATCTATATAAGGGTTCAGGGACCGGGAGATGAGCGGGACTGGGGTGCAAAATGTGAAACACACAAAGAATAAAAATTTAAAAATAAATAAATAAATAAATAAATAAATAAATAAAAAGGAAACTATATAAAAAGAAAAAAAGGAATAAAACAAACAAAGGAAAGTATGTTAAGATGAGGTCATTAATGCCAGACGGGAAGCTGGGGCAAGAGAGTCACAAGTTTGAGGTCATCCTGGACTATTAGCTAGACCCTATCCCAACTGAAAGAAGGAAGACAAAGAGGAAGAGGAGAAAGAAAACAGAGCACCTCAAGTGCCTGGATTGAGAATTATACCCTGGATTAAAACCCGATTAGAGGCAGGGAAGGCATTAAAGAGCTTGTAACCGCTCTAGGCAATGCTGACTGGGCTAGCTCCGAGGTGACAGATAGTCTTAGAGATAGGGATGATAGACTAGAAACAAAGCAGAAGGAAGAAGATGACCAACTGCTTTAGTGCAAAAAGGAAGTGAGAATCTGGATGCCCTTCCATGGGGGGCTTTCTGGGGATAGCATCATCAGCAAAAGCACCAAGACATAAGGAAGAAATAAATAGGTTTGGCTTGAGGTGCCAGGTATGTTTACTGCTAGAAACTCAGGGTACATCTGAACTCTCAAGTCTATGGTTTTTGGAAGCCAGAGCCGTGGGTAAGAAGCATGACAGCGATGGCAGTTAGCAGGGAGAAACAGTAGAACCATGGAAAGATGAATAGATAGCTGCAACTAGGAAAAGGACCTGGAGATCTTCACAGCCAAAGAGCCTGAGGAGACAGGATGACTTTCCATCATGTGGATCCCAGACATGAGCTTGGGAGGCCACTGGGTAAGGAAATCCAAAGAGAGTATGTCTTTAGTTTAATAATAACGTGTCAATGCCACTTCACTGGGTGCAGCCAATGTACTGCACACAGTACTGCACTGATGCAAGATATTAGTAATAGGGGAAACTGTGGGTTCTTCAGTGCTCAGTTTCCTGTAAACCTAAAACTATTTGAAGTGAAATGTGCTTGGGAGAAGAGGATTCAACTTGAGAAAACTGAGTACATTAGGCTCTGAAGACAGAGACCTAACTTGGACATAATTTCTTTTGACACATGAAAAAGCCCTTTTATTTCCTGGTAAATGCACAGTGTGGTTCCCTTGGAGATCTCAGGAAGGGCTGAGCCATCAACTCCCCCAAGACCGGCTGGCTAGGAAGAACACATTCCCTCCGGTGCCTCTCTCCCTGAGTGAGTCACACAATGAATCATGTCTAATGATATGCTGCTGTGCCCTGAGCTTACCCCACCTGGAGGGCACACCAAGGTGGCAGTAATAACACACCTCACATCCAACCTCACCCGTCTCAGTGACATGCAAGAAGAGGACCGATCTTGTCAGAACAGCCTGGCATGAATGCCTCCACCTGGAAGCCTGGGATGACCCTCATTCTCTGTGAAGCAGGACAGTTTCTCAATGAATGTGACAGAGAGATTCTCTGGCTCCCAGGACATTTGTGACAACCAAAAGAACACACACACATATACACATACACACTCTTCCAGATGTGCATGACTTCCAGCCTGCATGCTCCGCCCCGCCCTGGGACCTGTTGACTATCTGGTCTATGAAATGAATGGGAAAGCAGGCAATAAACCTTGTCAAACGAGCAGGAAACCCAACAGCTCCGAAAGGAGTCTGTGTGTGAAAAAAATGACAGAGAAGTAGATTCACACAGGAGAAAAGGGAAGACTGGGGAGACCCAAATCAGATAGGGGACTACACCATGGTAAGCACTTGTCTGCGATATTGTACCACAGTAGCTTTGTAAAAGGAGACCACTGTGAAGAGCAGCCGTTCCATGAG